TACAGAAACAAATAACAAAAAAAACAACAACAAAACAAAAAAAAAAAAAAAAAAAAAAAAAAAAAAAAAAAAAAAAAAAAAAAAAAAAAAAAAAAGTATATATTATTTAATAATTTTTAGAATAATTATTAATTTGTCAATTATATATTTGTAATTTAGAGATAATAAAAATTATAAGTTTTTTTAATTAATAACAAATAATAATTTTTTTAAAAACCTTTATACTGTATATGTAATTAAAATATTAAATATTTATATTTATATAAATTAAATTAAAAATTAATTTTAAATAAATAAATAAATTATTTAAAAATTGTATGTATTATATATAATAATAATAAGATTAAGGTAATGCTTTTTATTTAAAATATATTATAATTTGATTTTATTGAATTTTATTAAATTCTATTTAAAGATAATAGTTTTTTTTAAAGCAAATATTTTATTACGTAATTAAAAAAAAAAAACTTTTATTTTATATTTTAAATATATGTTTATTTAAAATTATTTTTTATATGTTTTTTTATTATGTACTGTATGAGCTATTATATATAATGACATTAATATATATATATCATATTTTAATTTTAATATTATTTAATTTTACAATTCTTGGGTATATACTGTCTCATAAGTATCATAATGACATCATCGACGTATTAGATATGCGTATGGTATAGTATAAAAAATATATATAATGAGCACAACATTTTTGTATAAAAAAAAATCCGATAATCGATAATCGAGTTATATCAACTATTTTTTGCGTGTATTCAAAAGAACATTTGCATAACGCGTACATATGGCTAACAAGCGTGGTAGAAAATTTAAAAACAAACCTCGAGATAGAAACGGAAAAGGAACAGGTGTCTAAGCGTTGACATAGAAACTTTTAACCGAACCTTGTAATTTATGAGTTTCAAATCTTCCAGGGAAATGTCCAAAAGAAAAGAATAATAATTCATCTAACACAGCTCGGTCAAGCCCTTTACTCTCAAATAGTTCCACAGTGAGTAGAACCCCAAGTCCTCAAGGAAAAGAGGGTGAGTGTATTACTTGAGTTTCATTCCAAACTTCCGAACAAAGGCTCAAATATTCCATATTTCAAGGTCTATCACAAGAGGAAATAGATAAGCGTATTGCACGTGCCGAACGATTTGGATTACAACTAGATTTATCTCCTGTAACTTTCTATTCTTCATCATACTAGTTCAAAATTTTAACGTATCAATTACATACTAAAACACATGTTTCATTGAGAAGCTACGAAACGTGAATGGTAGCGCGATTCTTGAACATAAAAAAACAGCTGAAATCAAAGAATCGTCTCCGGAACCTATATTTGACTTTTTCAAGGTTATAGATGAATATATAAGAACACAATTTTTGGTTAAAAAAGCAAAAGAATCTAGGCAAAAAAACAGTAGGCTAGTAGCGTGGGATTTTTTTCACGAAGATCTACATCCTACTATCTTTGGCTCGTTGTATCAGGGTAATAGGTGTAACAAGCGAGCTGACCTCAGTGATGAGGAAGAGTATGATGAAGCGGGCGTTTTATTGAGGAAGAAACAAAAAAAGGGCGAAGCATCGTCCGTTTCTAGATTTTTGGACGTGGAAGAAGATGATGTTCATCAATTTTTATCATCACGTCCGTCATCACCTGCATCCGGTATCTTTGTGTCAACTAATGTAAATGAGACTTCTCCATCCTTTACTCCACAGGTAATCATTGATACGAGCATTCAATATTAAGTAATGGTTTATCGATTGACATCTCTCTTGTTTAGGTTCAGCAGTCATTTTCCACTATACACACACCTCCGTTATTTAATCAATTTCAGTCAGAAAAAAATCGTAAACCATCGATTCTTCAACGTTTAGGTAGAAAAGATTCAATTAGCCCTACCCCACCCAGTTCAGTCGATAAGAAAATGCTTGACCAAACAGGTAGATCAGGCATATTCTATATCAATATCATATAGTGTATAATTTTAATTAACTTTGTAATAACGCGCCTAAATGTAGACCTTTTATCTTCTTCGAACGCAGATGATGAATCCATTTTTGGAAATGACAATAAATCATCGAAATTCGTAGAGTCAGTAGTCACAGAGCAGACAATTAACGTTATACCTGAGGAATCAAAAGATGTGACAGAGTATCTATCGCTAAAGTGAGTTTTACTTAATCTTAATATCACCAATACTCAAAGGGTTAAATTATTAAGTCAACATTATATTTTAGTATACAGGATCCACAATTGGACCCTCATAACTGGGTATTTGGCTCACCTCATTTAACTTGTGCGGGGTCTGAACATCGAGAGAAGGTTAAAAAACGAAAAGGTAGAAGCAAGAAACCACGACTTTTTGATCGTAAAAAAGCCGAGAATGATATAAAAAGAAAAGAACATCAAGATATGATTTCAGAAAATCACGATATGAGGATGATTCTTGATGACAACGACCGTAAAAAAGAAGCTTTGCGTACTCGTGAACTCAATTCGAAAGAAAAAACACTTGACAAAAAAGATGTTTGCGATCACGATGAAGCAAATAAGTTGCAAGATGATCATATAATTTCTAGAAAGAAATCGTGTCAAAGTACACGTATTGTTGATCATCATAGCAACGAATCTCTCGGTCGAGCAAAGAAAGATTCGAAATATAAACATTGCTTTCCTAAGGTTATGGAGCTTGAAGAAAAAGAAATTTAAATTTTCTTTCTCTGATAAAAGCGAATTTGACCTTTTCTTTTTCTTCTGAGAAAAAGAACAGATTTTTTCTAATAAAATGGTAGCTGTGACAATAATTTTCGGTTGTAACTTCATATGCTATAATAATTTCAGTAAAAAGCGTGATTCTTTATTCTGATTAAAACATATAGTCAGCGTGACTAAAACCACTTTATCGAATGATATAAAAATGACAAGTTTCTTCGCACGTATAGATCATAATTACGGATAAAAAACTCGCGTAAACAACTATTATAGTCAGCACGTATCACAATTTTTTCGTATAGATCATCAAAGAAGATTTGCAAAGACTTCTTAGTGATACGCGATATATTTTTTTTTTATATACTGTATTGTGAAAATACGTATTTGCGTATTTGGGCAATTATCTTTGAAGGCGACAAAAATGCTGAATATGATTTTTCGACTCCTACCTTAACAATACGTATATAGTGCAAATTTTAGAATCACAATCACGGGATACAAAAAATCCCTGTCCGCCTTCTCAGAGAGATAAAAGGAGTTCTCTGTGTAGTGTACGTGCCGAGTCATATTGCACGTGACTATATTATAGATCGTTGCGTAGTGAAAAATATATAATTATTACAATACGGAATTAAAAAAATGCAAATATAGCTGTATGTATGCTGGATAAATGTGCATAGAGAACACCTCCATGTCTTTATTTTTGGTAAAAAACATGTTCGTTAATAATCATACATTTTAAAGCAGATAAATAGATTCGTTCATATTCTGTAACGCATTTAAGCTAAAGTAATCAGTCGAGTCACGAGACACCCAAGATCATATATAAGTACCGTTTATACACATTCCCTATGTTGCTTTTAATTTTAATTTCATCCCCATAATGATAATTTCATTAGTAGTAATTGCTATAGTCGGATATTACACCTACAAATGGATCTTGTATCCCTTGTACATATCGCCATTATGCAAGATTCCTGGGCCACCTCCTGATCATTTTTTGTTGGGAAACTTTGTAAAAATATTTAAAGAAGAGGTGGATACCTTTCAGACCATTGATTCTTCTCATATTCCATTTATTTACTCTTACCATGTTCGATTCGTGCCTGAATACATGATAGGTCGGGCATCCGCAAATAAAATGGACTATTGACTATGGAGGAGTGTTGTGTTATCGAAGTCTCTTCAACAGACCCCGAGTATTCATAACCGATCCTAAAGCCTTGCAGCATGTATTATCGACCAATGTGTATGATTATCCTAAACCCAAAATGGCTTTTGTATCGTCCGTAGTCGGCAATGGAATTTTGATGGCCGAAGGGGAGGTACATCGACGACAACGGAAAATGATGAATCCGATTTTTTCTTATTCTAATGTTAAGGTAACTTTTATGACGGGAATATGCTTTGTTTTTGTTTTCTTGTTTGACGTTTTTTTAACATGTGATGCGCACGGAATTACTCATTATAGGAAATGATACCTAGCTTTGCTAAAGTAGCTCACACGTTGAAAGATATTTGGATAGAAAAATTAAATAACCGCGAAGACATAATTGATATAGTTCCTTACTTATCTCAAGCTACACTGGATGTCATAGGAATAGTTGGTTAGTGAGATATTTTAAATTTATTTTTACGTATTGTACATAAACATTTTTTTTGAAAATTAAATGATTTTTCTAAAGGATTCAACTACCAATTCAATTCCTTGACAACCACAAACGAATTGGCTACTGCATATGAAATGGTTTTTCATCCCAAAAATAGGGAAAACTTAATAATTCGTATATTATCCAATAATTTTCCAATGTTCGAAAAATTGCCAATTAAATCAAACATCCAAAAAAAAGAGGCATTGAAAATTATTCACAATGTGTCTGAGAACCTGGTCCGCGAGCGACTAGAGGAAGCTAAACGAGGTGAATTGCAAGGCACAGACCTATTAACGATGTTGGTGAAAATCAATGAACAAGCGGAAGAGAAAATGTCATTTGATGAACTTAAGAACCAGGTTGATATTTTCTGAGTTCTAAGTTCAACGATAATATATTGTTTTAAATTACTGACACTTTCTCGATATCGTTCTTTCTTTATTCAAAATAACAAATAGATAATGACTTTCCTCGCAGCAGGTCATGAAACCACCAGTGTGGCCACAGGGTGGGCATTGTACTATTTGTCCAAAGATCAGGAATCTCAAAGTCTTTTACGTGAGGAACTGATGGAAGAATTTCCAGACAAAAATTTCGTGCCAACGTTTGATCAAATCAATGATTTAGAATACTTGAACGCGGTAGTTAAAGAAACCTTAAGGATTGTGCCTCCAGGTATGATTTGTCATTTTGACTGTAAAGAATAAGATTTAATTATTGACAGCATTTTGACCTTTTTATTATTCATTAGTGCCTATTGTTGTACGCAAGCCAAAAAAAGATGATGTGATTAATGGTTACGTTATTCCCAAGGTAAATAATATTTGCAATTATCCCGAACGTTTGTTATCAATAGATTGCCGCAAAATAATAATATATTGAAAAACTAGGGTACTCCAGTATTCATATCTCCCAACACAGTCCACAGACTACCATCAATCTGGGGTCAAGATGCCGATGATTTCAAACCTTCCAGGTGGTTAATAGATTCATCATTCGTTATCACCGCGCCTGATACGAGCATGGGCTCATTCTCTGATTCGAATTTGGTCGATGACAAACCGGTCACGAACTATACATGGATGCCATTCATTACCGGAACAAGAAATTGCATAGGTGGCAAGCTGGCGTTGAATGAGATGAAGGTATTGTTGGCAGTGTTGATTAGAAACTTTAGATTTCGGGAAATTGAGGGATTTGAAGTAAAGAGAAAGATGAGTATAACATTGAGGCCGGATCCCACTATTAAGCTTTGGGTGGAAGAGATGGAAAATTAATTGAACTGCATATACAAATGGGTAAAGTTCTAATTTAAAATATATTTTGACGCTGTGGAATAACACTTTTGCACTATGTTATCCATACATGACATTTACTTTTCTCCGGTGTACAGTATATATGTATTTGTATGTATTTGTAAGATACATTCTTTTTTTTTTTCTTCTTTCTTTTTGGCTATTTTAGTTAAGTCATTGCGTGAAAAATAGAGTTTGACAGTCTTTAATCACATGTCTAACGCAGTATTTTATAAATAAATGAAATGCTAGACATGATTAAATACAAACTTAAATAAATTCATTTAGAGTATTGAGGGTTTTGTTTGATAATTCGATTTTGCGAGTCTTCTTAATAATTTCACATCTATAATATTACAGCACAATATTAACTAACACCCCCGAAAACCTACAATATAAAAAATATATAGGTTATCATATTTACGCTATTTCCAAAAGAAGAAATTATATTTTTAAAAAAAAAAAGTTTATTAATTATTTTAAACCCAAATTTTTATTTAATATGATATATATCTGTCAGTGGATACGTTTTTGCTAATTAATTGATTGTTATTGTTAATGAATAACAATTAACTGTTTATTATAATTAATGAATACTATTTGATTATTTATTCCAGATTGTATAGATATTATCATGTTATTGTTATTGGTTTGTATGTTTAATAAAATAAGAAAAAAATAGTCAATACCAATGTAAAACCCCTATATGCGTCTTACTGATGATATCTAGTATGATATATAATAATAATTATCTTTATAAACAAAACTAATAATAATAACAAAAGTTTTTTGTTTATAAGACTTAAAAATAAATATATCAAATTTTAAAAAATAACTTGTATAAAATATCCATAGTATTTTTATGTAACAATATAATCATATTTTGATATTTGTATTATCTTATTAACTTCTTTTACTATACACATATTATTTTTAAAAGCAAATATATCAAGGTTTAATTATAACTTGAAAATTAATTTATACAATATAACTATAATATTTTTTTATAATTAAGTATTGAATTATTATTAATTAGTTTAAATACTATTTAAAATTTAATACAGATTTTGAAATTCATTTTATTATATATTTAAATAATTTTAATAAAATACTGTAAATAAAATAATCAAAAAATTTTTTTATTTTATATATAACTTTTTTTAATAATATAAATATTATAATTTAGTTTTATTTAAATTTAAAATTTTATAAAAGAATAATAATTATTTTGTTTTTTTAAAAATATATATATATATTGTAATAAAATTAATAAATAATATAAATTATATTTAAAAATTATATTTACATATATTAATTCAAAATAATATTTATTATTATTATTATTTTTTATAGATTAAGATAGCTATTAGCTAAACTTTAACAAAAAACTTTTGATATTGTTATCAGTTCTATTTATAAGAACAAATAGAATTCTTGATTATTATATTTTACTCTATTGGATTTTTTAATTATTAGTATATCTCTTTGACTTCTAATTATAAGTCTTTTAGTTTCTGTAAGTAAATCTATTCTGGTTTCTATTTGTAGATTTTTTAGTCTTTATTGATAAACTTATTATTTTTTATATTGGTATGTGCTGTCATTTTTTTCTAAATACTATAAAACATAATTCCATAATATATTTTTTAAAATTAAAAATATTAAAATTTATATTTAATTTTATATTTACTTATTAAAAAAAATATAAAATTACTGGGTCTCCTCCAGTCCTCTCAATAGATTCAAATACCGCCTGCTCAACATAATAGATGAAGTTGTCAACTCCCCACC